GAAGGCGGGCCAGGAGAGGTCTGCCGCGCCATGTGGTTGCCTCCAGGGCAGGCGGGGATCGAACTCATGCGGAAGTGGCTTTAGTTTCTTAGTGCAGTGCTTTAACCTGCTGCGCCACCAGGGAGGGCCCGTGACCGCGCTTTTTAGTGGGTAGACCTAGTAGGAACAATTTTAGTTTGTGACTCAATCATGTCCTTTGTTCTTCTGACAGTTGCATATATTTGACCAGTTTTTGCTTCTTAGTTGCAATATATTTAGAACAAGTTAGGAAATGGAAAATATCTGAAAAAAACTCTTTTCCCCCTTACATTTCCAATGTATATGAACAGCAGTTTGCAGGTTCATTCCAATGAAGTCTCTGTTATTTGTGGATTTCAATAATATACTATCTTGTCAAGTTGATCAAGAGCCAACTACTACAACTGTTAATTCCAAGCCTATCAGAGGCTAACTGGAGCAAATATTTCTGAAATTTTAGGGGACAGAAGGGATCTCACAAATACCAGGCACTCTCCATGTGCCAGGCCTGTGCTTCTCAAAATGCAGTCCTGGACTCCTATTGTCAGCATCTCCTGGAACTCAAACCCAGACCCGCTAATCAGATTCTTGGGCAGGGGAGGGAGGATTACAAGCTGTGTTTTCACATTCCCTGCAGGTGACTCTTCTGCATGTTCAAGTTTGTGAACCACTCCTGGGGAAGGAGGGACATGCAGAGAAGGCAGAAGAGAAAAAATAAGTCAAAAATAAGACAAGAAAATATGTAATGGACTCTATTAGTATACTTATATGTGTCTCTGATGCCTGATTCTCAGATCTTGTTCACTGCAGGTAATCACTCACACCTGACTCCAAATAGCAATTTTTCCCTGTAATATTCTCAAGCAGTTGCAACATTTATATTCAGGCAGCCATCACTCTTCCTCCCACATGCTCAGAATATTAGTGGCAGGTAAGGGGATCCCTCAGAGGCGCTGTCCCTCCAGCTTCTTCTTATCGAGCCTAAACTGTACAGTTTTTCAGCTATAAACAAAACTAAAAGGCATTCATTTACAAAAACATAATCAGAGGGTATATCTAAAGGTGAATTTTACATTTTGACTCTACATAATAGAAAGATCTATAGAAGAATATAGAGACAGATACAGAAGTAGATACATAGAGAATAGAGGGATGTGAGATATCCATTAAAATATATCAAGCTATATTTAAACTTCTATCACTTGATCTTTTTAGACTATAGTAAATGCATTATGTATTTCGTCTTCTTTCTAGACTTGAGGATTACATATTCTACTCTTTCTCTTTTTCTTCTCAGAATAAAATGTGCTAAAAATGATTATACTCTAAATATATTTTGAATGAAATGTGCTCTCTCCTATGATATCTCAAAAATATAAGTATATTCAATAAGAGGCTACTATAGCTTGGTCAAAGATTCCTCTGTATCTAACAGAATATTCTCACTCCAGTATGCATGGATTTTCTCTTTGGCCATCCAAAAGTAAAAATAATAAACACAGAAGAAAATATTCCTGTCCCGTGTTTTGTCTACTGTAATCAATATTATGGAAATTATAATGTTTCCATTTTATCTAAGAAATAGCAAATCATAATTAAATATCTAGAATTTTGTTCTTTAGACAATTTTAACATTGTAAGAGTAACATTATCGTACTGAGAACAGTGTTTCATGCCTTCAGTAATTCTGAGACAGAGTTGCCATTAGGGGTGCTCCTGGTACACAGACAGAGGAAAACCAGGGGCACTCCTAAGGGATGATATGTAATCAGGACCTGTTTTCCCTGCCTTTCCACAGTTACCTAATAATTAAAACAAATCAACAGGTTCTATGTGATAGCAGGAAGATGAACACCT